ATAAAAAAATGGCTAATAAAATAATAATAATAATGATAATAATAAAGTTAATACTAATAATAATAAAAAAAAATAAAAAAAAAAAAAAATGGAATAATAAAGAAAAGTTTCACGGATAGGTGTTACAAGCGTAACACCGGTTTACCCTTATTCGGAATTACCATAGCACGTGGCTTCACCGGTTAACACTAGCTTGCAAAATTAATCTTACTCAAATTTTAATGATAAACTCACATGTTCTATACTCTCACCAAAATTAAGTTTATTAACTATATTGATGTACAGTACATATGTTTTAATCAATAAAATGTATTTACCACATAAATTTTGTATCTAAGACTATTTCATTTTGAATAATCTAACATAAAATAATAAATTAAGCCACCTATTAAAAGATCGATTTTAATAATTTACGTATTTTTGCTGGCCTAAAGGGATTAATCCAAAAAATTCCTTAGAAGCTTCTAATCTTTCCTGTATTGCGTTCATTTTTGATATAAATATATCTTTTTGATCTGTATTCCAATTCCCGTTTAATAACAGTCTTGTTAATCCCCATTTTGTTGTTAATGCTTGCCATATCAAAGTGTTCAAAGTTATTCCAGAACAGGTATTATTTCTTTCTGACACCTCCTCTATTGCAAAGACTGATAATATTATAAATGAAATAGTATTTATAATTAACCAGATATATAATAAAGGCCAATATCTTATTGTCGTTACTTGAATATTATTACATGACTTTATCAAAAATGTATCATTAGTATATTGTAAATAATTAAGAGGGTCTCCATTTATAAGTATTCTATCTGTGAGAACTATAGATGACGCAGCTATATATTTAGCAAAGTCCGTTTCCAATCCAGAAATGTATCTTCCATCATATTTGTAAGGATCAATATCCGGATTGGTGTTTCCATTAGATATAGTTAAAGCATCATAATTAAACCCAGTCATTTGAATATTTAATATTTCGGTATTTATCGGACTAATGGTCTTTAAATTTGATATAGAACTTTGTAATAAATTATTTTTTTGTGTAATATTTACTAATCCAATTTTTGCAGTATAATTACATTGTACAAGAGTTACAATATTCCATTTTAAAGTTTTTTGTGTATCATTTAGCCACCCTACTAGAGTTTGATTCATTGGATTAAGAGACAACTGATCAGACAAAATAATAGCAAAAGTATTTGTGTTTTCGCTAGCAACACTGGTTAAAACATATAACCCTTGAAAATCCAAAACATAAGTATCAAAAAAAGGAGGCCAGATCTTGCTATCAAAACTTGTCATATTTATATGTGGGTAAGGTGTCATTGAAGCCCCAGTGAAATTGTTGGTTGCTATACATGATGTGTTAACTGCTATTGCTTTTAGATTATAAACACTCACTTCATTAGCAGAGAATAATATATCATTTCCAACATGAGCTGCAATAGAATAATTTGCATTTCCTAAAACTGTTATATTATTATCAATTCCATTTTTTAATATATTAGTTGTTCTTGTGATTCCTACTGGAGAAAAACCACCCATACCAAATGTTGGTAACCCGCAAGAAGGTTGATTTGTACAATTTACTGTAGCATGAGTTTCTTTTTCATTGTAATTACATGCACCTATAATTTGGTCTGTATTTATTCCTTTTGATAATCCCCATGTCGTAGCTATTGTTAATAAAGACAATAATAAATATGCCTTAACTTCAATAGAATTTATACGTATAGTTGCGATACATGAAGTAATTCCCATATTTATAGAGTTAATGGATTCTACCATTCTTAATAATGATCCTCTATTTTTTATATTTGGCCATTTTCTTATTGTCAAATGGACAAATGCAATCGTTAAAGTTGCTATTGTTGCTTTATCAATTATTAATATAATAAGCGAAGTAGTTCCTACATCAGTGGTTACATACCCATTTCTAGATATATAATATATAGCAGAGGATACTGCTATAGTTATACTAAAACTCAGAATAACTAAGATAATATTATGAGTTGTTTCAAAATACATACTAATGATTTCTTAATTACTAAATAATACTTTGATTTTGAATTAGCGATCAGGAACAAATTTTTTATAATTGAAAATTTTACTCCAATTTTTAAAGATACATTTTCATATTAGCTACGATGATTTCATCTTCATGATCTGCTATATCATGTTACAGTTTGATATTCAAAATGTTAGTACAAATGTGTTCATTCTAGATCTGTTAGAATGACGTTAAATGCATAAATTTATTTATACCTGATATCAGTACAAGATCCTTATTCTTAAAATATTAACACATTACAATAAAACATCCTTAAATACGACTTGTGGGAACCAAAACTTGCAAATAAAGAACAATAAGAAAACTTTATAGAATTGTATACCATATGTATTTGGACTAGAAGTTGAGCTTCATTTAAGGGGGTCTGACTTTTATCTAATATAGTAAGTATTGACTAGAATAGCACAATTACTTTCTCTAAAAACTATTTATAGCAGAAGTTCCTGATCAACAACCGTCAAAAAAATCGCTATATATGAGAGTCGCCAAAAGAAAACGTACCTATCTAAAAATAGATTACTATGAACTTCATAATAATCCATTTTTAGGTAGGTACGTTTTCACTTAGCGACAGTCAGATCTTAAAAAAATATCTCGTAAAGGAGAAAACGTAACCTAGCTATGGAACATGATAATGTGACTTTGACTCTAAACTGTGATATGGTTTTGTAGAGCTTTAATAAATACTGACTTAACCTAACTGTAATTGTCAAGAAGAGGCATTTGTAAAGTTAAAATTGGATTTTATTACTTTTTTTTTTTGATTTACTTTGGACCTTTATAGATGCAAGTTATTTAATTAGAACTCTATGCAGAAAACTTTGTTTATGGGTTTTAACATGAATTAACGATCTTTAATTTTAAAGATTCAATATCAACAAGCGTTATATGGTAATTTTTCTCTTTTGTCTAGAGATGGGTTTTCATGTGTGCGCATAATTCCATTTCGTACGCATTTAATCCCATCAAGATAATCAGTCCCTAACCGGTCCCATCTAAATTACTCGGAAACCAATGCAAAAACCGATAAACTTCTATTAGATACTGTTATAGAGAAATAACTTTTCTGTAACTTTACTTATCGGACGAAAATTAGTTAAAAATGCCAATTTTTCATAAACCTTGCTTAAAGTCAGCTGATAATTACTGCGGGACCAATTACGTAACATCCCTATCTACTTTTGTCATCACAAGACTTACTGCAAAGACAAATCTCACCATTAATCATGCTTGCATTTATGTTCTCTAATTGTCTACCTTTCCAAAGTTTTCCATATCAATTATACTTTAGAACTCTATTATTTGGCGGTGATTAAGTGAGATTTATTAAAAATTCCATGTATTTTATGGCATTTTGCGGTATTCTGCGGTTATTAACGGTGATTCCTGTGGTTGACTATACTTAAGAGAAATTCAACTGTTTATTGTAAACCTGGTCAGGTGTAATGTAAAATCATGCTTTTTTCCTTTATTTGAAAAAAATCGTAAATTTTGTGAATTTTATCTTTTCTGCGGACTAATGAAAAGCATTCTTTACTAATTTTTGTATTAGTAATGCACAATAAGGTTTATTCAAATTTCTTTTGATTTTTTTTTTTTGATTTTTATTTTATACATTTTGAGAATGATTGGTTTGCGTTAATCATGTTAAATTTTTTACTAAATACTGATGTTAAACCTATTGATCAGAAGTTCGAATAATTAATATGAATTGATCAAGGAATTTCAAAAGTAGATGTTTAGGTTCACTGAACCGTAATTTTTCGCTCAAATTTTTACACATCATAATAGTAGAAATAAGAACAAAATTACAGAAAAACTTTTCATATTAAAATAAAAAATTTGTGCAAGAAAAATTTAAATATATTATTTTACGCGAAATTTATTATTATGATTGATTTACAAGTTTTAAAAAATCTATTATAAATTTATTGATTGACCTTACATAGTTTTGATTAATTATAATATTGCGCACCCTAATGTCATATGATAATTTTAGTTATTGTATCTATTATTTAGGTTTTTAACCACCAGTATACATCATTAACTAGAAAAATCATCTATGTTCTAGCAAAAAATCATTTATTAAGTTTATTATAAAACTTAACTTTAAATGCTTTAAATGACACGTAACTGCGATAACGTTAATGATAAATACACCTTAATGTTTATATAATACTGCATTTGAATTTCACTAATTTTTTTTTCTGATGCAAATTCCGTATGGTCTAATATCCTCGTCTTTCTTCGAAATCCAATATTCACCGACTCCGGTTGTCTGTGTCGGAATTTTAAGTAATTCCTTAGGATTTACTCGATTTTGAATTACTACCAGATATTTATTTCCATCATATTCAAATTCCTTTGCATATGATTTAGCAACATTCACATCAGGCGATGAATAAATACCATGTCCGTAAGCAAATCTTCTTCCTCTACTCAATAAGTATCCCACTTCAGAAATTGATTTCGAGTTATGTTTATCAGTACCATGATAAGATACAGGCCATGCATTTGCATCAACACCAAGCCATCCCTCATTACCGTTATCATATTTTCCAATAACTTTTAAAGCAAAACGTCGCCATCCACATGGTCTTACATAAGGAACATCTCCACGGGTGTACGTCGCTTCTTTGTCATCAATATTTGTAAAGTCGTAATCGTAGCCTGCATCTAAGAAATTAGTGCTCAAATAGCTTATTACAACTCCACCGCCACCAAGACTTAAAACTAAATGTAATGTACATTCTTTGGTAATATTGTAGGCAGCAAGCGTATTCCCATCCTCTAATTGCTTACCGGCAAAAATAATTCGCTGTTGATCGGGTAATATGCCTTTTTTATCATGAATTTGTTTTTTTACTTCGTAAATAGTATCAGAATGATTGCATTCAAGTGCAATGCTTTCACCAGATAGCATTTTTACAAAAATTTGTATAGGAGTATTACTACTTAACGTTAGCTGCCCAAGGGATTCCGATGCCGAAGATAAATCTTCTTCTACGTTAACTCTATCAATATTACCACCAACAAGAGTACACATATGGAATGCATACATATCGACTGGTAAAAAAACAGTTTCAGGTTCATTAGATGAATTTTGTCTTTCATTATATTCTTTTTCTGTTACAAAAAGAAATCCTGGCATCATTGCTGAGAAAGCTGCATTGAGAAGGTCAATACGATCATTTGCCATAGTTAATGAATCTTTTTCAAGAGAATATTTGATTAGGATTCTTTTTTATAATGTTATATTTAAAATTTTGCATACTTTGATTATTTACTATAATTATTAAATTACCTATAAAAAAAAACTATCGTTTAATGATATACCTGAACCATTAAGTAATGATATAGTGGAAATATAGGATGATATATTACTGAATAAACTAGAGTTAAAAATTATAAGATTAACTTATTCAATCAAATCATAACACACATTTCCCATTTTAGTAAGAAGTTTTGACTCACTATTGAAACTTGGTACTATTGCGAGTCAGTCGCTTGATAATCCAAATCCTTGCGTAACCTACAGTATTAGATTTAGTCGAGTTGGTTGGTTCCGTAGGTAGGTCTTTCACCTATCTGAGTAACTCTAGGCTTCCTTTAACTTCAGCTATACCACACTACTTCGGGCAAGCTTGACAAATCAACCACAGTTGTACCAAGTACGTTAGGATAACAACTGGACAGGGCATCGAATTTAGCGAGTGGTCACGTGAACAAGGGTTTAAAGTGAGACAAAGTTTATCACTATGCCACTTAGTAACAAACTCGGGTTAGGGGTTTGGAATAGTTTAGTTTAGCGAAGTTATTATCGGGATTTATTATGTAATGGGTCAATTTATTATTATTATATAAAGCGAAAGTTGAGAATTGTCTTTTCTCTAGGGCCTTTACGGCCTTTATTGATAATACTATTCTGGAGTGCCTTATTACATCTAATATTAAATGAAACCATATATTCCTAATATATTTAATGAAGTTTTATTCCCTTATAACTCCTTTGACTTAATTGGGATCCGATCTAGTGCTTGGATCCGGATAGGGTTATCCGGATAAGGGTTTGGTTAGGCCACTCCAATTTAATTCGGTGGTTTACATTACATCTCCACTTCAAAAGAGGGGGGGTAATGTAAACCAGCGAATTAAATTGGAGTGGCCTTAATCAGGGTTGTTACTGAACTGGACTGGACTATTGGACTGGACCAGTCCAATTTTATCCAGTCCAGTCCATTAAGCTAAATTGGACTGGACTATTATTGGACCAAAAAATAAGTCATGTGATATATATCAGATATACGTACGTACTTGATACTGGGATTAGGTTATATGAAGATGTATTGTATTTAAGTCTATTATGATAGATCTGTAATATAGTTTAGAAGTTTATTTAATGTATATAAAATTAAATAAAGAAGTTTGATTTGCAGAATTGAATAATTTCTTATAATCATATAATATTAAAAGTGTGTACATCTATAAACATGAATTAACAATAAAAAGTAAAGGTTTGTAAAGATATATGGAAACATAGTAAAAGATGTATAATATTTAAATTTATTTTAATTTAATAATAGACATACTATATAATGGGCAAAGCAAAAAAACGTGGTCATCCTTTATCTGAATTTGTAAAAATTTATCCTGAAAAGCTTAATAGTTTCAATCATCTGTGTCGATGTATTTACTGTATTGCTGTACTTGGAGAGGAAGATTCAGATAATCAAAAATTTACAAATAGTGCTAAATGTGTTAAATCACATTTAAATCAATGTGAGCATTTTAAAAATGCTTATACTTTAGAAGAACAAGAAGAGATTTTAAATTGAGTGAATTCTATAAGTTCAGAAGTTGTTATAGGTATTTTAATAAAAATCATTTATTTGAAAATATTATTAAATTTAACTAATTTTGTATTTAGCAACTAATGCAGGAAGCTCACTTAAAAAACATACCTTAATTTCAAAGAGAAATAAAGTTAAACTATTGAATCAATTTATAGCTCATAATATGAGTAATCAAGAAAAACAAAACTTTAATAAGCTTTGGTTACATGCTATAATATCAGCAGGAATGGCATTTTGTGCAAGTGAAAATCCTGAATTGCAAGCAGTATTTACTTTTTTAAATCCAACAATTAAACTTCCTACTCGTCAAAATCTTAGTAGAACAATCTTGAATAATGCTACAACATATATTCAAAATGAGATAATTAAAAAGGTAACTGAAGAAGAAATTATAGTTACACTATCAATGGATGGTTAGACAAATGTCAAGGCACAAAACTTGCTTGGTTTTGTTATGATTACATCAGTTGGTGAATCTTTAATCTGGGGTGCTCGAGATATTAGTATAGATTGTAGCTGTACTGAAGATATTATGAAATAAATTGAAGAAGTTTGTAATGATATCAAGTCTAATAATATTAAAATTGCTTGTATTGTTACTGATAGTGCTGCAGCTTATGCTGCAGCAAGGTAAATATTTAATTATAAATTTTTTATTATACATAATATATGTATTATTTAATTATTAATATTTAAAATTTTTTTAATATAGATCATAACTTCAGATTAAGCATCGTGAAAAAATTTACTTACTCTGCTTCATACATCAGATCAATCTTTGTATAGGAGAGATTTTCAAAGAAAATAATAATTATCTTCATATTTCAACTCAAGCTTTATCAATTGCTAAGTTTTTTAATTTTGAAACCAATACTTATTGAGTTGAAATATTGTGCAATAAGCAAAAAAGCCTTTATAGACACTATATTTCTTTAGCTAAACCTGCAGATACATGTTGAAATAGCTATTTTTTTTGTTTTAAAAGTCTTTTAAAAAGCAAATGTGCATTACAAATTTTAATTACTAAATTTGAAGCTATTAATGAATAAGAAATTTGACAAAGTCGTGATAATAAAGTTTTACAATGTGACTTTTGTCAACAAATAAAAGATGAAAACTGATAGAATAACATTCAAATTTTATTAAATTTATTAGAACCTTATTGTAATTGCTTAAATAAGCTTCAATTTAATACTGCACGACTATATGAGGTTTTACATACCTTTGGATATTTGGCTAAATTTTAGAAGAATTATGAGGATATTGAATTTGGTCAAAAAATATTAACATGTTTAGAAAAATGATGAAAAAATTAGAAGCAACCTTTAATTTTACTTTCTTTTTTCCTTAATCCTCAATATCGCAATTCAAAATTTGTTTTAACAATTTCAGAACTTTCATATATTAATTTTAAAAATGGATTATTTATTACTATCAAGCATAGTTAGACAGGTACTAGTAAAAATATTAATTGAACTTGAAAATTATCATTAAAAAAATATCTGTTTGATGATTATACTATCAATCAATTTCTAAATATGGGTAATATTTCTCAATTTTGGTCATTTGTATCAATGAAAGCATGTGAACTAGATGCTATAGAAAAATTATATTTGGCATTTGTGTTAACTTAGCATCATGTGAGCGATTATTCTCTACTATGTGTTGGATTCATTCAAAATCACGAAACCATTTAGATCCAAAAAAAGTATTAAAAATTAGTCAAATTCATGGTTCTATTATATATACTCATTGATTAACTGAAGCAAAAGCAATTAAAGAAAGATATTCAGCAAATATAGCAATTCTATCTAATAAAAATGAAAACTTGCATGAAGATACTAAAGAAACACAAGATTTATTAGATGATTATCAAGAAACTATAGATAGCTAGATCAAATTATTAGAATATGAAAATTTATCTGAGTTAACTATTCAACATTATTCTGATATAGATATTGATTCTGAATACAATAAATTTGTTGAAAGTTTTATTAATCCTGTGCGTGATCTGACTGCTAAATGGAAGTTAGCAGAATTGTTTGTAGAAGACTTAGAAGCACTACTTTATTTTTATCAATCTGAAAATGAGTAATAAGCTTATGTATTTTGTTCATTTTATATTATTTACTATGCTAACTAGTAATTTTTATTTAGTCTTTAAATAATATTAGGCTAATATTATTCTAAAATATAACATAAATTAAATAAAAAAATTGTATAGTTTAGAGAATTCTAAACCTAGCACAACAAAGCTTTATTAAATTTTGTCAAATATTTTTAATACATAAATATTTGCTATTTCAATATTTAGTTTAATAAATGTTATATACATATTTACTATAGCGAAAGATATAATATGAT